AGGATTGTCCTGGCCAGCCAGGTCTCTTGTAGACGGTTGACAGCATCGCAGGTGCTGACCGGAGGCTGCTTCAACCGGTTGATCCTCAACATCCGAGTAAGGTAGAACTGGTAGAACAATGAAACGCCGCTGACATAGCAGAAATGCCCTCTGTAAAAATATGGTCTTGAATTGGAAAAAAATAGTTAGTATAGAGTATAGGACAGTATATCATAACTGACTGTATAGACTGTCCTAGTACTAGATGTTGGTATACAGTATAGACAGTATACAGAATAATGCCCCAGTCACCGATGTTCATCTTATACTTCTTTCTTTCGGGTAACGGGTAACGACGTCCGGCCGTGCAACCAGCCATCCCACAACTGGCCAGCACACCCCGCGGCGCATGCCCATGCGAAGTGACCTGAGCTCATCCCAGCAGGGCCCGTTTTCAGGTGCCTCCAGTCATCAACTGGGCAACTGGAAGCCCTCAAATTCTCAAACCTCTATTGGAATCGTGTTTGTTGTTAATGCGAAATGGGTGGAAAGCACTTTTCTAAAGCCATGTATATAAATAACATCATTGGACATCCATTTACGAGCATTTCTTGGTGCTATACGGGAAATCAAATAATCAGGTCACAAGCATACCGTAAGTTTACTTTTGCGCATAATTGGAGGAATGTATGCAAAAGTTGCCCTGGTAAAAATCACTAATAATACTAATACTACTAAATGGGCATACATGGACTAAATGCCGGTTGGTTCATGTTGATTAATCGTTTGCGACATCTCCAGAATAGTTCACTAGGGATCACTAGGGTGTCGAAAGGGCGCCATTCGGCTTAAAACCCAACCAATAGAGTCGCAACATGCGGCTTCAAAGCCAAGGGAAAACTAAAACAAGCTGAAGGAACCTCCCCCTCGCGAGGCAGCAAAAAAAAAAAATATATATATATACATTATAATACATTATATATATAACAATCTTGAGCTGCATGAGTGAGGGTGTCGGTCAAGGGCGCAGGCCAAATCATGTCGAATCCGGCCGCACAGCTGCAGCTCGAGCCGCCCCACAGGGCCAGGGAGAATTCCCGGCAAAGAGGCAAGAGCACCGCATCCAAAACCTGTGTCTCGTCCCAACTCCAACGCGTGGCCAGGCCCCAAAACGCGGCCTTTTTGAGGCCAGGTGTTTCGCTTTGAATGAACATCCCACATGGATCGACACCTGGGCCTGGGGCTATGATTGGGGGGTTGGGGGATCCATGGCCACATGCGGATGCAACAGGGCCCGCGAACATCCACAAACCAGTTTGCTATTTACTTTAGCTCGTCATCAGAACCCTGGGGGAACACATGTTCATGCCCAAGAACTTCGAAACAACAAAACACCTCCTGTCTTCCATAAACCTGATCCAAACCTGATCATGATATCTTCCACACAAGAATCACCTGATCTCTTCCCTCCATTCTTTGCGTCACTTCAACCGCGTCGGTCGGTACCGCCGCGCGGCGCCGCTCCTGCTGAGTGCTGGGGACGAAGCCGCTGAGCTCCAGGTCCCACAGGTCGGAGGTCCTGGGGCCGACACGGTGGAGATCGTGGGAGGAAAAACCGAGGCATTGAGGAGGGGAGCTGTTTATATATATATATATAGTTATATGTATATATATATATGTTTTTGAACCCTAGTCAATGTTTTTTTTCATTTATATATATATATATATTATGTTTTTGAACCCTATGGGATGTCATGGGCATGGGGAGCTGATTTGCCGGATTGTTGGGCGCTGAAATGGGCTAATTCACGTCTCTCTTTTTCTGGAGCTACGTATGTCTCGCAGCCTGGAGGTATGAGGTCAAAATTGATGTTTTGGTGCCTCCGTGATCCATTCAAGACATGTATAATTGTGATTCCATGGGTTTCTACAAAAGGAGATGGTGTAGCTCATTGCCCCAAATGATACTTGCGATCTTTCGATATCTTATGTAAGTAGATTCGTAGATCGACATCCAGGTGAAAAGTCACCTACCCATTCTTGCCGTGCCCGACCACCAGTGATGAGAACTGGGCTGTTCCGGCGGATTCGGCTCTTCGTCCCGTTCTCGGTACGTGAAGCCTTCAGGAGTGCCCGCCGTGATGAAGATCTGAGTGAAAGCGGTGGCTAGCGGTTGGCAGGTTTTCATGGGCGTGAAACCGGATAAACATGGTGGGGAAAGCGGGTATGTGGACTGTTGTAGGCTCAAAATGGTTTTGGGTGTGTTTCTGATTGCATGCATTTCTTGGGGATATTGTTTATGGCGGTGCGGTCTGAATTCCAATTCCTTCTCTGAGGATGATAAAGCCAAAGACAAACAAAGAACATCCGGAACATCTGTGGAGGGTGATGGTCGCTTGCAAGTATCGCACATCGTCACATGTTGTCCCTGCTCAAACTGGCGGTAAGGCTGCTGATGAACTGCGGTAAGTCTTGGTGTTTGTCACCCTGATCTGTAATCTACCACGTGCCTCCAAACATTCTAGAACAAATTAATATATTATATATATATGCTACATATTATGCCATCTACAGTATATAATGTTATACATAATGATCATAATGTAATATAATTGCGTCAGCTATGCATGTCGTATTCTACACTGATTCACACGAAATGAGCCCCCGCAATCCAGCTCGTGACTTGGCCCCCCAAGCGGGCTGCAAAGCTCGAATCTGCACGGCTCGCGAGCGACGAAGTCGCGGCGTTCCCCGGCTCCGGGATGGTGGGCGGTCCTTGCAAACCAAATAAACACAATTTATACAATGGGAAATCATATGAGCAGGTTTTTTTTTTAAATACTAAAGCTATTATCATTGAAGGATGCCTACGGCAAAGTCTACGGTTCGCCTACGTTTCCACAGTGTGAGCCTACGACGCACAGATACCTTACCTTTACCTACGGAGAAACCTACGAACGTGAGGTTTCGTTTCAACGTGGTGTGTTTCACCTACGCTACCATTGGGGAGTTGGTTTTGAACTTTTGGGATTTGGGCAAGCAGACAAGCAGACAGCATGATAGCAAACTTTTCAGCGTTCGGATGAGGAGGAGCTTGAAGATGAATTTGAACTACCACTGCTGCTGCTACCACCTTGTGGACGGAAAGAATTCCCTCAAATCTACTTGAGAAGTACAAATTGAGAACACATGGGCCAGTGGTCACAAGAAGCATTTTCGCCTACGGGATTCTTACGGAGAACCTACGCTGTGCCTACGGTACAAGGAGCCACAACATCCCCGCACGCCACATGAAGGTGGGCGGCTTGGCTTGGCCATTGGTCTACAAATCTCAGGAGTTTGAGGTCACTAGTCTCTGAAAGTGGATTGAAAAAGTGAAGTAGTTGCCAAGAGCAACAGGAAATCTAAACAGACAATTCATATCTGCAAAGTGTCTGCATGAAAACCCTGATTGAAAATGCTGCCTACGACAAGTGCCTACGACAAATCATTGTGCCAAAATGCCTACGGGGCGTCTACGCCCCCAAGCAGAATGCCTGCGCCATCCTTTAATCAACCACCAATGATGTCAATGCTTATATAAACCCTTTCATCTCAAAAAAAACTCAGCTCATATGGAAAAAAACATGACAGTGCTACTACATCGTGAATTAGATTCACAAAGACGGGCTCGTTTTGCTGGTCCGGTGTTGTGCCAAGTGATTAAGTGACTGGGAAACCAAGGGTTTGGTGGCAGAAAGATCCAAAACACATCCAAAGAGCGCGGTTAGTATGGCTGGTCACGAAAACATTCGACTCTTGGCTATTTAGCAGGGAGCAAATGAGTAAGCAAGCAAATGTCAAGAGACCATGATTGTGTGAATTCTGGCAATTCATTGCAATTCCCCATATGCATGGAATATGTGCGGTTGCGTTAGATGTCACAATCTTCTATATACCTCACCGTTGGCAAAATAGATCACTTTGACTACTGTATAGATTTTGCTCTTCCAGGTGGGGGTATGGCGTAGCGTTGACAAACATGATTAAACTGAAGCTGTCAGCGATTAGCAACAACAAACAAATACCTTGGCCAAATGGCCAAAGGCTACTGGGCTGGTTGAAAAACATCCTGGTGCTCTTTGTCAGAGCTCTCTTTTAGTTTTGGAGTTGGCAAGCAACCAAACGCAAATTTTGGCGATGCGTGATCTACAATCGACTACATGCGTTCTAACAATAACAAACACTCAGCCAACAAACACATACAACAACAAACACTAGGACATGTGCACAAAGAAAATGGCATCATTAGAATCATTGCAGCATATTGCAGCAGTTACAAGACACAAAACTACACACACAGGAAAAAAACAGCAACGCACACTCACACAAACACATAAACACACAAAGTCAGAAGTCAGCCCCCCTGAGGCCTGAGACTGGCCCCAAACATGACAATGCAACATATGTAAACCAGCCAACCAACAATAAATTCCACACATATCACAACATACCACTATACACCATTGATCGCCATTGTCTTGTCCTCTCAGTCCTCTCATCTGACGAATCTCAGCGCGCGGCCGAGTCGCTCACCAACTCATAGGCGCCTCCTGGGACGAGGCCAGTTTTCCCCCGCACACCGCCCAGCCGCGGCGAGTTTTCACCGCACCATAGCGGGAACGAACAGGTGCTCTACTTACTATATCATTTGTAAGCTCTAGGTTAGGTTAATAAAAAAACACAAAAACACCCCTATGAAGAGGTTTTACATGGCTTTACATTGACTAAATGCGGGCGAATGCGGGAGGTCTATTGATCAAGAGTCTACATCACCCGGTTTGATGACTCACACTCACGCTCCGCCACCTAGATTTGAGAGAAGCGGGAATAATGTTGGCGAAATGATCCAGTTTGGGAAGGATTAAGGTGGGGACCCCAAATCTGTCCGAAGTCATGCCCATGCCACGGGTGGCATGTTTTCCGGGTGAAATCGGGTGAAATGTCTGAGACTCAATCAAATTGACAAACATGTATCGCCTTCAAACGGACTTCTGGAAAGTTCCTGGATTCTGCTGGATGAGCTCCCGCTGGCCTGGACCCATCTGAGAGCCCGGGCGCAAGGTCTTCGGCCTCACGGTCTTCGTGTGCATTTGAAGATGGAACATGTCAACACCTGTTCTTGTTTCTGGATGGTCCAATATGCTCCATGTACTGAAACATACTGAAACCATGTAGGTATGGCCACGTTTTTGTGAGTTGTATCACCACATCTCTTCTTAACGCAGCGTCCATACTCCTCCCCAACTTCCTCTCCTCCCGGTCCGCACCGGTGCCCGCTGCGTTCACCGGGCTGCCCGACTTGTGACACCGCTGCAAGGCCTCCATGACCTGCATCCAGTGACCCTCCAGCAAGGCGTCTAAGGCCTGCCGTGGTCGTCGGTGAGCGTCGGTGAGCCTTCAAAGTATGGTAGGCCGCATGGATATGTGCATGGATGGGACGGATTCGAGTTGAGACAGTTGCTCAAAAAGGATCAACTAAGGGACATAGAAGTTGACCAGTTCTACCGGACATTGTGTGCTTGACTTGAGTTGAGCAGCCAAAGGCTTTGACGTCAACTGCGATGGAGACCCACTTCTTCGATCCCTCGAGCCCGAACTCTCCCGACTCGTTCTTGGCCGAGGCACTAGGGCGCTCTTGTAGCGCGGCATCTCGGGTGGAGGCCTTGGATCAATGGGTCCCAGACGAGTACGCCCACGCGTACGCCGAGTGCGTCTGGAGAGTGAAGACCCAGCTCACAGGTGTGCCATTTGGGGGTTTTGGAGCAAATTCACGAGGGTTTGGCGGACAGGATAAGCTCATGATACGTTTTTTCCCCTTCCAAGCCTTCATGATAAGCTGAGGCAGGAGGGTGTTTTTGAATGACGAATAAACAACCTTATATAAGTGCGACACTGTGGGCCCTTCTTCGGTGTTAAAACCTGCGTTTCGCCACTAGAATATTAGAGAGTACCCTGCTGAGGCAACGGCTCCAGGCAGAAGGATTGCTGCTCCAAATCAAATGGATCATGGCCTCGTTGCCACCCGCCAAGCGTGAGCGCCGCCACGAAGACAGGATTCGAGGAGATTGGATCGTCAATGGGGCAGCAAAAAAAATCATAAACCAATCACATGACCTCTGTGCTTCCCTGGCCGTCGGTTGCATGACCTATGCAACCATCCTGGAGCAAATAGAATATGCAAAACCATGAAAAAACACAGAAGCACAACCAGTTTATCATTTATTTTGATTCCCATAGTCTATCGATTGCATGAACAAAGAGAGGAGAGTTGAGGGGCTTTTGGGAGTTCCATGATGTAACCAAGTCACTGAACAACAATGTAAGCAACGAATCTGAGGTTGATGAATTTTGACCATATGTGGAACAAGAATGAACAAACATGAACAAACATATTGCACATTCCGGTCCAAAACGATCGTTTGGCTGGAAGCCCTGGATGGAACACCCAAAACACCTTCGATGGAGTTCTCCTCCATTTTTCAAGAGCTCCGAGCACCGGCACTTAGCAGGGAATCCTCCCGGGCCCGTCTTGTTGGTCAAAGGAATCTCTCATGCAGGTCATGAGCTCCGAGACCCTCAGCCATGTGAATTAGACATTAGAAGAACTTTTGTTGTCAACCTTTCTCAACAAACTGTAGACACGCCACTACAGAGGTCTCCGGCCACAACGCAGCAATCATCTCTACATCACCACTGATGATGACTTAGTGATCGCACGGGTCTCCAAAATGAACCAAACACAGGCATTGCACTACGACCCACCAAAATGGAATGTGCCTGGCCCCACCTGTAGAAGGTCATGTTCCCATTCCATTCTGAGTTGGATCGCCATGAGCCATGAACCCTTTAATTCAATTTCCTCAACCCATTTTGTGGTGGCATTTGTGGGAGTCCCAATACAAGTAGAGAAGTTCATGATGTTGGTAGCTGATGTTCTTTCCGAGGCCTGGCTAGCGCTCTGTGCTGTAGGCTCGTGTACAAAAAGTGGATTCAATAGCTGGGCGTCCAACTAGTGATGACATAGCGCAACCTGGGCAAAACTCGACATGGCCATGGTGAACAAAACACCGAGCTTTGTTGACATCAATGGATGTTCTATGCGGCAACGGGCAAGGGAGCCGCTCGACCTATATACATCCCCTAGAAAAGAACCATCATTCAATTCAACATCCTTGGAGTACCTCTAGGCTCTTGAAGACCAAAATGCACTCCCCCAAACAACAAACACTTCTGAAGGACCTCTGGTTCCTATGAGCAGCGATGGCCCATTAATTCACTGTTCTGCGGCTGACTTTCCGTATGGCTTGTGTGCGATGACTGAAATTCATCCTAACGCAGCAGCTCAAATAGTGTCATGAGTGTCATGTGCTCTCTGTTCTCTAGTGCAGCAAATGTCAAGACATGTCAAGACTTGTGCTTGGTGCCATCAACTAGCAGCCTAATTACCCCCCTCTACCAACAAATGCAAACAAGAAACAATCTCGGGCAGGTGCCAAACAAAGCTCAGCCGATCTGTGTAAGTACTGAATTGCCATCGATCATCTTGTGTTATTGCCAAGTGTCCCAAAAATATGAACACAACTGCAATTCCGACCATGTAGGGTTACCATCGAAACACCGGCCTTGCTAGTCTCATCATCTTCTCATTGAACATCACTGCATCCTGTCCACAGTACCTGGACCAATCAGCGATTCTCACGATTCAGGCTCAAGCCAACTCCGCGGCATACAATCTCTGTAACAAATAGTATATATAGATTATAATAGTAACATTTCACAGAACCTATCCAACAGTATTATTCGGACGACTCGTGACTCACGATACTCATGAACAATATCATACAATATCTCTTGTGAACGAGTCCATTATTATGTTGCAGTCGGTCGGCCATGCAACTGAAACCATGCTACTCAAACACTTCAGACCTTCTTGCCCACGTGGGCGCCAGCGACGGATGGCATCGAGGTCGCGTCGTGCAAGCTCCTTCTGCAAGCCCAAGGCTGACAGCCTCGAGCCGCTTCGTTCGAGTCAGTGCTCCCACCAGAGCAGTTCCTCGGGACCGTTGGACCGTGGGACTTGGTTCATCGAAACGAACATCAGTGGAAGGCCGTGAACTCCGGCATAACAAAGGCTATGTTGGACTGTCTGAAATCAGAAGCAAGAGGATGTCATAGGTACAGTAATACCGGTTAAACAAGGACAACCATTCAGTAGTACCCTCCAGCAGCCCTCACTCTATCTATCCAAGACGTTGAAGGGTTCTTAGCACGTGTGAAGCGGTAGTTGTGATTGCGTTCTGCGGGCATCATCCCTTGCATCTGACGAATCACGTTTTTCAGTTTTCAGGCCTCATCAGGTTTCAATTCAACTGATGGCAAAGACCGCACATTTCAATTCAGCAGCACCTCCCCGCAAATCTTGCACCACCCATCACCACCCACTCGTTTTGGCGAAGTTACGCGCAATCCCAGGACACCCCGGCGTGGTCAGCACACCACGGCCTAGGTGAAATCAGCTGGCAAACCTGTAGATCATCTGGTTGAAATGGGCTGAGTCGGGATGAGTTTGGACCTCTGAGATGGATGGCCGGTGATGATCATGATGATCCCAAATATCTACGGATACCAAAATGTCAGTGTGTACCAGAAACATGTTCGGGTCTCCACTGGTTTTGGTCACGTGCCACGAACAACAGTCAAGCTCATCGAAACGGTCCTCAAACGGTCCATCAGGCACCTGTTCAGCACCTGCTCATGCACGGTGGATTTCCCAATATCAAAAAAGAGTGAGTTAACAAAGTAGCAACCCAGCTTCCAAAACTTGGGTAAGCTCCTGAAATCCTAGATATGGAGCACTTTTAACAACTTTGTCAGAAGAATTATCGTACCGCTCTTCCTGTGTCTACTAAAAAGCATCCAAAAACAGTATTCAGTATGCATATCCTATTATATATCTCTTCCGCTCTTCTCCCCTCTTTACCTTCAAGTCTTCTTCTCCAGGCTCAAACGAACTCGGTCCGGACCGGGCTGCGGTATCTGGGACACCACACAGGGCTCACTCATCGGAGTGCAGTTCACCTAGGATCAGTGCGCCGGGTTTCGTATGGCCCAGTCCGTTTCGGTGCCCCGTCTGGACCGGAGAATGGCACCATTCTTCTGGGCAGCCATATGTGAAAAAAAATCGAGATCAGCTAAGATCAGTTGCAGTAAGACCTCAAGCTTCATCTGCAACCCAGGATGTTGACGCTGTCGTGAAACTGGAGGCAATTAGGGCATCTTCCTAGGACTTCTTCATAAGCTCTTGGCCAACTGTTGTCAACTGAGTGTCCCCACAAACAATCCCTGCCATACTCGATCAGCCTGTTCGCTGGTGGACCTGAGGTCAGCCAGGAGATCATGTTTAAAAAATGCAAACACTTAATAGAACTTATACATATATCATATATCATATATAAACAATGTATGTATAATACATATAATTATGCATATATATATGTATAATATTGTATAATACTATATAATATATATACATGTGTGATTCTGTTTCCCCCCATGACAGCCCACCCAATGACTCAACGACTCACCACAAAGCAATCCCTGTTCTCAAACGGTCAGTGTCAAAGGTCCGGCTGACCGAACACACCAATTTCGAAGCATTGCTACCTGAGCTCAGGTTCAATGCAGGTAGTCTCAGTCTGAATTACTTCAAACCATCATCCGCTTTCGGCCGAACCATCGGGGAGACCCACGGATGCCGCGACGCGTGGAGGTCGTGTCACCCTTGGCCCGCTGCAGGGCATAGAACTCCTCAGGACGATCGCCTGGGGAGGAAGTGGCCCAAGGGTTCAGCAGGGAGACCTCCCAGGCAACGACCCCCTGGAAGAAGGAAAATCATTAACCCAAAGCCATCCAAAACCCACTAGTTGGGGGCCAGTTGGGGGTCTCCCCATTTAAAAACGCAGCCAAATGTGATAGAACCGCTGCTACGTGGGGACTTCCAAATCAGTTCTGGGGATGATTGGTCATATTTGTCCATAGAAAGCAGATCATGGCATGCTTTTGTGCCGCGTGGTGTTCTAAGTGGCCCGACGGCTGGATGCCAAGTATTCAGAGACGAGGTAGTGGTATGTCCTTAGAGACACTTCATGCAAGCCAATTCCCAAAGCACTGAGGGCCATGCATGAGAACCAAAAGCTAGGGCCTAGGGTGCGACCTTCCACGAAGGACAAAATCCTCAACCCGATCTCTAATGAGCAATATCCCACTGACAAGGTGTTCTGGACTCCAGACCAGGGCGGCCGGCGGCCGTGTGATACCCTATCCTACAAGTTGAAACCTTTGCACATAGTGTATCAGCTTTGATGCAAAGTCGCGGCATGTATCTGAACGTGGTGGTATGAGGTGGTCATTGCAAGTTCCACCAATTCCAAACCAGTTCATATGTAGTCAAATAGTCAGGGAGGTTTGGACTATCTTTGGTGTGGCTGGGGCTGCTCCACGTTTGCGAGAAATTATATAAGACATCCAACAATGTCCAGTTATAATTTGCACACCTTTCGAACAAAATACTTCCCGCATCAGGTTGTCATTTGATATGTAGAAGTTCAGGCCCTCAGATGCCTTGGTGGCAGCAGGCTAATCCAATTGCCATACATATATAGGCCCGTCTTGAGCCTTTCAGCATATCTGGACAATCTCAAAGCCACTCTCTGCTAAATCTTACGAAATCCAGTTTCCAAAGCAGTTTTGGCAGTTTCACCAGAACATCTGCACTCTTATCCAAGATCGTTCAACCCCCTTCCGCGCAAAACGACGCACATCCAGATGTGCGGCAGCATGGCATCGATGCCGTACTGCATGAGGCGATCTCCATGGCCTGGACATTGATGTGATGACTGGTGGATGCCCCCCAAGGGAGCTTCGAAAAAAAATAGTCGCCGAAGTCAAGACGCCCAGGTACCAAGTCAACTTCCCTCGCCCGGTTGAGCTCTTGGCTGGTCGGAAAGAGGTGTGTATGCACCTTGCAGGAGCAAGAAGTGCCGTCAAAAGCTTTGCACCTAACACCAAGAGCTGGACCAGAAGAATCTGGTATATATATATCCGCCGACCCCGGCCTATAGCCAAAGCCTAGGCGGGGAGGCGCCTGGGACACCGCAGGGTGAAGCAGTTGGCCAAGTCTTCAAACCCCTCGGCAGCAGGCCTGCCTCTTCTCTTCTAATCGCAGGCCTGCCTCTTCTCTTCTTATGGGCTTCCAAAAGCGACGTTTGGCCTACTCCTGCACCGCAGCCTTGCCCTCTTCCTCTTCTCGGC